CTGGTGTGTCCAGGCTGGGACCCAGTCTGGGCTGGAAGACAGTGGCCAGGTTGGTGGGATGGGCTTCTTGGTGCAGCCAAATGCCTACAAAGAATGGACTCATTCTTCTTTGCCTGGTTTTCGGCTCTTGGTCATCTTGGAGAAGTGTTGTCCTATAATTGGTTCAGAGCATCTGGGTTTTGTTAAGAGCTCATTTCAGCCCTTTTTTGAGTTGTTTTTGGGAGATAGCTTGATCCCAGCCTATTCTACCATGTTGTGGGTAGAGTCTACCTATGTTTTTTTCTTTCATGTATTTTAGATTTCAGGTCTTATATTCAAATTTTTTATCCATTTTGAATTGCTATTAGTATATTTTGTAAGATATTGTTCTTGTTTCATTCTTTTATATGTGGCTTTCCAGGTTTCTCTGCATGATTTATTAAAGAGACTTCCTTCTCCATTTTATAATCTAGTCTCTTTTGTCATAAATTTGGTATCAATATATATGTGATGTTATTTCTTCTCTTTCCATTCCATTCCATTGATTAGTGCGCCTGTTTATAGTCCAATATCATACTGCTTTGCTTACTGTTACTTTTTTTGCATTTTAAAAATTAATAAATTTTTTATTGATATATATTTTACATCATTTTTCATTTTGTACAATGTATGCTTTCTCCTGTCAGGTTTAGTCCTTGTGAAATTCCCACCACCAATTCACCCGTGCTCTTCCCGTCCCTGATTACTGCCACTTTTTAAGATAGCTGTAAGTCATGATGATGATACCTCATGTTGTTGTTCTTTTCTCAGGATTGTTTTGCTATTTGAGGTCCTTTACAATTCCATACAAACTTTGTGACTTTTTTTGTTCTTTTTCTGTGAAGAGTGTCATTTCAATCTTAATAGGGATTGAGTTAAATCTGTGTATTGCTTTAGGTAAAATAGGGATTTTGACAATATTATTACAATCCATGAACACAAATTGTCTTTCCAATTCTTTGTGGTGTCTTTTTTCATCAGTGTGTAATAGTTTTTAGTATACAGTTCCTTTACTTCCTTGTTTAGATTTATTCCAAGGGATTTTATTGTGTTTGCTGTGATTGTGAATGGTATTGTCTTCATCCTATCTCTATTTGTCTTAGGTCATTGTTTGCATATAGAAAGTCAACAGATTTTTGCATATTGATTTTAAACCCAGCCACTTCTCCTTATTTATTTATTTCTAATATTATTTTGGTGGTTTCTTTATGGTTTTATACATATACTATTATGTCATCTGTATATAGGGACAGTTGTTTTTTTTTAATATTTTATTTTATATAATTCTTACATCATTTATCATCTTTGCACAATGTATGCACTTTCATTTTGGTTATATTCCCCATACAATTGCACCCCCCCTTATTTTGACTCTAGTTCTTCCTCTTCCCACCCCTCCATCCCCACCCCCCCCCATAATGTGTCTTTGGTTTATAGTTACTTGTTGATTTTGATGATTACTTTGTATTGATTAGTCTTTTTTTTTTTTAAAGATTTATTTATTTATTTATACAAGCACTGGGTACAGTCAGAAGCGTGGGAGGGTGAGAGAATTCACCAGAGCCAGAGCAGAGAGCAGAATAGGCAGACTGTGGAAGTACACTGCTGAGGGGAGCAGGGGGCAGCAGGAGAGGTCTGTGCACCATGTGGGACCCTCGCCCGGCGGCCGGGGATCGAACTGGTGCTGCAGAGGCTGTGGGCAGCTTCACAACCCAGCGCTCAACCACTACGCCACCAGGGAGGCCCTGTATTGATTAGTCTTTTTCCTGGTCTCTTATTTAGGTTTTCTAAATTCCTTCTATGAGTGAGACCATCTGGTATTTTTCTTTTTCTTTCTGACTTATTTCACTGAGCATTATCCCTTCTAGCTCCATCCATGTTGCTGCAAACTGCATGTTTATCTTTTTTGATTGCTGAGTAATATTCCATTGTATATATGTACCACATCTTCTTGATCCAGTCATCTATTTTTGGGCTTTTGGGTTGTTTCTATAGCTTAGCTATTGTAAATAGTGCTGCTATAAACATAGGCATGCAGGTGCCCTTTGGAATTAATGTTTCTGTGTCCTTTGGGTAAATACCTAGGTGTGGAATTGCTGGATCATATGGAAGCTCTATGTTTAGTAGGTCAAGAAATCTCCACAGAGCTCTCCATAGTGGTTGGACCAGTTTGCACTCTCACCAACAGTGCAGGAGAGTTCCTTTTTCTTCACATCCTTGCCAACATTTGTTGTTGCTAGTTTTTTTAATATGTGCCATTCTCACTGGTGTGAGATGGTATCTCATTGTAGTTTAGATTTGCATTTCCCTGATTACAAGTGATGTTGAACATTTTTTCATATGCCTGTTGGCCATTTGCATTTCCTCTTTGGAGAAGTTTCTTTTTAGCTCTTCTGCCCATTTTTTGACTGGATTATTTTCTTTGTTTTTGTTGAGTCTCATCGGCTCTTTGTAGATTTTTGTGATCAGTTCTTTATCATTAGTGTTGTGTGCAAAAATTTTCTCCTAGTCGGTGGGGTTTCTCTTTGTTTTGGTTATTGTCTTATAGGGACAGTTTTTTTATGGGAATTCCTATATAAAAATAACACAATTCAGTCTAAAATTCTTACTTCTTCCTTTCTAGTCTGCTTACTACTTATTTTTTTTTTTTGCTGAATTTCTCTGTCCAGAATTTCCAATATTATGTTAATTAATAGTGGTGAGATTGTGCATCCTTGTATTTTTCCTGATCCTAGAGGAAAAGTCTTAGGTTTTCCCCATTTAGTCTGATGTTGGCTGTAGGTTTGTCATTTATGGCCTCTATTATCTTTAGGTATTTTTCTTCTTTATCCACTTTATTAAGTTTTTATCATACAAGTCATGCTGAATTTTATCAAAAATTTTTTTCTGCATCAGCTGAAATGATCATATGATTTTTATCTCTCATTTTGTTGATTTGATTAATCACATTAATGGATTTGTGATGGAACCACCCTTGAATCCCTGGAGTAAAGCCCACTTGGTCATGGTGTGTTGCAAGAGGATAATCGAGAGGTGACCTGAGTACGACAAGGGAAAGGGCTGACCGAAAAGCTTGAGAAAACTCATGCACATCAGGGCGAAAAACCACCCAGGAGGGATGCCCTGAACTTGCTTTGTCCTTGGAAGTCACCTCAGTCATTACCAAGCAACAGAGGCCCACTAGGGCAGACATGTCTGATAAGCTCAAGGCCTCACAGCCCAAGGGCTCACATACGAGGTGTGTATGAGCTCACGTACATGGCCTGCAAGGCAAGATTGTTTTGGCTTTCTCTGACTTGTGAAAAAACACAGATGTCTTTGTTCATAATTCCTATATAACCATGCTGAGAAAAATAGAAAATCACTGTTTCTTGCTCATAGCAGTCCCCCATCAGGTGTGTCCTTCGCGATCAGTGTCCCAGGTCTCCGAGTCCACTAGGAGGCTCACAATGGTGTTTGATTTTGTTAATGCATTGTTAAATTTGCTTTGCTAATGTCTTGTTCAGGACTTTTGCATCTATTTTCATCAGAGAAATCGGCTTGCAGTTCGTTTTTTTTGTGCTATTTTTACTGGTTTTGGTATGAGTGTTATGTTGGCCTCATAAAATGTAGTTAGGAAGCACTCCCTCCTTTCAGTTTTTTGGAAGAGTTTGAGTAGATATTTTGCAATAAAAAAGAATTAAATCTGACACGTATGACCACATGGATGAAGCTTGAAAGTACTATGCTAACGGAAACATGGCAGTCACAAAAGATCCCTTATTGTATGATTCTCTTGATGTGAAGTATCCACAACAGGCAAATCCATCAAGACAGAAAATTAGTAGTGTCAAGAATAGAGGGAAGAGTGAATAAGGCTTCTTTTTGGATTTATAAAAATGCTCTAAAATTAGTGTTGATAGTTATACAACTCTGTTAATATACTAAAAGCTATTGAATTGTATACTTCAAAGGGGTAAATTGCATGGTATATTATTTATAACTCAGTAAAATATTAAAAATAGAAAAGAAACAAATGGGACTTGTAACTTTCCTATCTGTCTGCTCTATCAGACAAGCTTTCAGTTTGGTTTTATACATACTATTTCTTTTACTACCATATTTCCTAAAGTTTAATAACATCAGCAAGAATCTGAGCTCCAGATTCTGATTTACAAACAATGGCAATAAATGATGCTCTTTGCCCTTAAATTGAACTTCTCTGCAGCACCTAAATTTTATTTGCTTTGTCAAGTTAAGAAGTTGTTGAAGATCCTTGTTTATATTGCTCCTCTGTTTGGTATGCTCCACCTAATTAAGTATTTTTTATTTCTCTTTAATAATACCACTGTTGCTTCATAGGAAACTCCTCCCTAATTACCTTTCCTGCAAGTTTTACTAGGTGTACTCTATGTAATTAACTGCACCTGGGTTTACCTCCCTTGTAACATTTATTTGTTTACTTATCTCCCCATTAGCTATAAGGCCATTGAGTACAGAAATTTTATCATTTAGTTATAAGTACATAGGTGCTCAACATATTAAGAAAGACTGTGCAAACCAACATAACCCACTAACAGATAAGTCATTTCTCAGGTGGAATTTGTGGTATATGTGTATGTTCTGCCAGTAATTATTACAACATCACACTACTGCCTCTCATTGTTACAGTCAGGAGAATATATTTTGACATACTGATAGGTCTTGTCATTCGTGATGGGGACTATATTAATATTGTTGCCATATATAGTAGGGACTATATAACAATATTCATAATAAATTTTGAAATTGTAACTCAGGAGTCTGAGTGGCATTTTTTAAGTTAGTAAATAACTGATAATCACACCTTTTTTTGTGAATCATAAAAGTAGTTATTTGGAAATAACATAAAGGTATTTTATAAAATTCCATCAGGGTTCTAAAATCTTTTACTTTAAGTTTCTGATATATATTTCATTAAATTTTAAAGAGGAACTCCATGTTTGAAATTAAAAATCCATTACCCATTATCCATTTTCTCATTTGGGAAATAAACTTTTCTTCTCAGAATTGTATGAATGACAGGCTTTTGTCCCAAAGAGGCCAACAGCTTGCTCAATAGAACGGAATACTGTAAAAAAAAATCCTCCTTTTACTCTTTCTGTAGCCGAAATTATTCTGGAAATTACACTATGATATATTTAACTTATTATTTTAATTAACATACTATCTACATTTATAAATTTACTACATTTTCAAGATTCAGATTTTTTTCCACCAGAACCTCTCCCCACTCCATTAAAATGAAAGGATTATATAAATAAGTCACAACAGAATTTCTAAAATATCAAAATACTATGTGTAGTCGAATCCTGAATGAACTGGGACTATTGAATGAACCAAGACTGTTTATTTAAATATATACCTTAGCTTTGATGTTAATGACTATGAAGTGGAGTTTTAAAAATTACTCCATGACTTTTTTTTAATATGACCCTGCTTTCAAAACAATAAGCTTTTTCAAGGTAGATTTTAAAAGGTACCTGGAGCATTTAAGAAAATATTTTCTTATACTCTATAGATAGATATTATGTGCTTCCTCTTTTTCTCATGAGATTTAAGAAGGTTAATTGACTGGAATTAGCCCTAATCAGATATTTCAGAATAAAGGCAAGTGTTTCATTATGGGGTTTTCCTATATAAAAATTCTAATTCAGTTTATAAATCCCTAGATTATTTATGCCCTACCTCCATAGAGCTCCTGTTAAATTTCCTAGAAATATATCACCACCTGTAAAGAAGTCTTTACAATTGCTGAATATCATTTTGCACCAGGGACCTTTCTTTGCTGGAGACTGTGTGAACCCAGAAGAAGGCTCACCGAGGAGACAGAGGTAAGCTGGGAGGCTTGCCCATGCTGGGCGCCTTCTAGCCTGCAGTTCCAGCCCAGAGGGGAGCAGCACCCACCACTGGGGCAGACCGGGCGTGCAGGGGAGCACGTCCCCAGCACCGGCATTTTGCAGCAGGGACCTTTCTTGCTGGAGACTGTGTGAACCCAGCAGAAGGCTCACCGAGGAGACAGAGGTAAGCTGGGAGGCTTGCCCATGCCAGGCGCCTTCTAGCCTGCAGTTCCAGCCCAGAGGGTAGCAGCACCCACCACTGGGGCAGACCAGGCGTGCAGGGGAGCGCGTTCGCGCATCGCCATTTTGCAGCAGGGACCTTTCTTTGCTGGAGACTTGTGAACCCAGCAGAAGTTCCCCAGAGGAGCCAGTGGTGGGCTGGGAAGGTCGCCCAAGATGCCAGCCAGTACCAGCAACACAGTGTCACAAGGAATACGGCAAATTAGAAAACAGGCAGTAGGGAGTAGAAAAACCACATGCAACCCAGCAACTCCTCAGCAAAAAAGCACACCGCAAAAAGAAAACCATCTACCAGATTGCAACGACAGTAACTTGGAAGAACTTCTGAGCCTTCCAGATAGAGAATTTAAAATTGCTGTGATTAAAAAACTGACAGAAGTCATAAAGGAAAACAATGATAAGGGGAAAATAATTAATGACCAGAAGAATGAAATTGAGTCCCTAAAGAGGGAAGTAAAAGAAATGCAGGAGATCAAAGAATTAATGGAGATGCTAAAGAACTCTGGGAAAAGCAGTGAAAGCAGAACAGATGAAATGGAAGAACGAATAAGTAATCTTGAAGACACAGAAATAAAAAGAACTAAAACAGAAAAGGAAGGAGAAGTACGAAGGAAAAAGACCGAAGAAAGACTTCGGGAACTATCTGACTCCATGAGGAAAGGAAATATAAGAGTTATAGGAATCCCAGAAGGAGAGGAGAGAGATGTAGGAACAGAGAAAATATTCATGGATATAATTGAAGAGAACTTGCCAAACGCGAAGAAGGAGTTGAAAATTGATATAGAAGAAGCAAGAAGAACACCAAACTTCCATGACAAAAGGAAAAATACAGCAAGACACATAATAGTAAAACTCCCAAGAATCCAAGACAAGGAAAAAAATAATGAAACTAACAAGAGGGAAGAAACAGATAACATTCAAAGGGAAACCAATCAGACTGACATCAGACTTCTCTGAAGAAACACTACGGGCAAGGAGAGAGTGGAGGGACATAGTCAACAGACTCCAAGAAAACAGATGCCAACCAAGAATACTCTATCCCGCAAAGCTCTCCTTCCTCTTTGAAGAAAGAATAAGGACCTTCCCAGACAAACAGAAACTCTGGAATTTCATTACGACTAAACCCCCACTCCAAAAAATACTACAAGGAGTCCTAAAGCCAGAACCTCAGAGGGACGAATAACAACAAAAGAAGGCCAAAGAAAGTTATTAAAAGAATAAATAAATAAAATCAAAGGAAAGACAAACACAATGGCAAATACAGATGCTAACATATCAATACTAACTCTAAATGTAAATGGACTAAACTCTTCAATAAAAAGACACAGAGTTGCAGGCTGGATTAAGAAACAAAACCCAACCTTTTGCTGTCTCCAGGAAACACATTTAGCTGCAAAAGATAAAAACAGACTCAAAGTTAAAGGATGGAAAACAATCCTACAAGCAAATGGACCAAAAAAGAAGGCAGGGACAGCTATACTCATATCAGATAAAACAGATTTCAAACTTAAAAAGATAAAAAGAGACCCCAGTGGTCATTACATTATGATCAAGGAGACAATACTTCAAGAAGAAATAACACTCATTAACATATATTCACCAAACGAAGGAGCACCAAAATATATCAGACAACTATTGGAATCTCTGAAAACAGACATCAGAGAAAACACATACGTAGTGGGAGACTTCAACACATCACTATCAACAATGGATAGATCAACAAGACAAAAAATAAGCAAAGACACTAAAGCTCTAAATAAGGATCTAGAGTGCTTGGGCTTAACAGACATATATAGAACACTAAACCCCCAAAAATCTGAGTATATATTTTTCTCAAGCGCACACGGATCATTCTCTAGGATCGATCATATACTGGGGCACAAAACAAACATCAACAGATACACCAAGATTGAAATCATACCAACCATCTTTTCTGACCATGAAGGCATCAAACTAGAAATAAACCATAAAAAGAAGGCAAGTTACTCTCCTACCTCGTGGACATTGAAACCCACACTACTGGAAGTCCACGGGACTAACGAGGAGATAAAAGTAGAAATTAAAAAATTCTTTGAATTGAATGACAAGGAGGACACCAATTTCCTAAATGTATAGGATGCAGCAAAAGCAGTAATAAGAGGAAAATATATAGCAATAGATGCTCACATCAAGAAACAAGAAAGAACTCAAAGAAACAACCTAATCTCAAAGCTCAAAGATCTAGAAAAAGAACAACAAAAAAACCCCAAAACCAGTAGAAGAAAAGAAATAATAAAAATCAAAGCAGAAATAAATGAAATCGAAACTAAAAAAACAATCCAAAAGATCAATGAAACCAAGAGCTGGTTCTTCGAAAAAATAAATAAAATAGACAAACCCCTAGCCAGGCTCACAAGGGCAAAAAGGGAGAAAGCACAAATAAACAGGATAATAAATGAAAGAGGAGAAATCACAACGGACACAGCAGGAATCAAAAGAATAATTAATAACTACAATGAACAGTTATATGGAAACAAGTTCAACAATCTAGAGGAGATGGACAAATTCCTACAACTCTACAATCACCCAAAGCTAGATAAAGAAGAAATAGAACACCTAAACAGACCAATTACAAGCAGCGAAATTGAAATGGTAATCAAAAACCTCCCCAAAAACAAAAGCCCAGGACCTGATGGATTTACAAATGAATTCTACCAAACATTCAGAGATGAATTGGTGCCTATCCTTCACAAACTCTTCCAAAATATTGAGAAGGAAGGTATAATACCTAACACGTTCTATGAAGCCAACATTACACTAATACCAAAACCAAACAAGGACAACACAAAAAAAGAAAACTATAGGCCAATCTCCCTAATGAACACTGATGCAAAAATCCTCAATAAAATTTTAGCTATCAGAATCCAACAGTGTATCCATAAGGTAATTCACCACGACCAAGTAGGATTCATGCCAGGGACACAAGGATGTTTCAACATCCGAAAATCAATCAACGTTATCCAACACATCAACAAAAAGAAATATAAAAACCATATGATAATATCAATAGATGCCGAGAAAGCTTTCGACAAAGTGCAACACCCATTCATGATAAAAGCCCTTGAAATTCTGGGGATACAAGGAACATACCTCAACATCATAAAGGCCATCTATGACAAGCCAACAGCCAGTATCATTCTCAATGGTGAAAAGCTGAAAGCATTTCCATTAAGATCTGGAACAAGACAAGGATGTCCACTCTCACCATTGCTTTTCAATATAATACTGGAAGTCCTAGCCAGGGCAATAAGACAAGAGAAAGACATCCAAGGAATCCAAATAGGAAAAGAAGAAGTCAAACTATCACTATTTGCAGACGATATGATATTATACATAGAGAACCCCAAAAACTCCACAGAAAAGCTAATTCAACTCATCAATCAGTTCAGTAAAGTGGCAGGATACAAAATCAACACGCAAAAGTCAGTAGCCTTCCTATACACAAACAATAAATCTGAAGAAGAAGAAATCAAAAAGACCATCCCTTTTGTTATTGAAACAAAAAAAATCAAATATTTGGGAATAAATCTAACAAAAGAGGTAAAGGACCTATACAAAGAAAACTATAAAACACTGTTAAAAGAAATAGAAGAAGACACAAAGAAATGGAGAGACATCCCCTGCTCATGGATTGGAAGAATAAACATTATTAAAATGGCCATCCTACCAAAAGCAATATACAGATTCAATGCTATTCCAATCAAAATTTCAATGTCATTCTTCAAAGAAATAGAACAATTATTGATGAAATTCATATGGAATCACCAAAAACCCCGAATAGCCAAAGCTCTCCTGAAAAAAAAAGAAGGGAATGGAGGCATCAGACTCCCAGACTTCAAACTATACTACAAAGCCATAATCATCAAAACTGCATGGTATTGGAACAAGAACAGACATACAGACCAATGGAATCGAATAGAAAATCCAGAAATAAACCCACAGATTTATGGTC